TTTTATTTCCCGAAAAATTCCAATCCGGCACCCCACTTTACATTTACCCCTTTCTTTGTTTTTTGTTTATTTATAAATTGATAAGAGATAATCACCTGGGGACAACTGTATATATTATTTGATTATAAAAATACTAATTCACATGCAGTGTATATTTGATTGGTATCTTGTAGGGTATGAATGTATGACCCCAATAGTCTTTTTATACTGTATAGAAAAGAGTAAAATTGCAAAAAAAAAGCCTAAAGGCCCAGTATAATCCCAAAATACCATTTCCCTTAAAATAGGAATCCAAGATGTCTTTTGGATTTTTAAAGAGGAACAGTTACTTAAAGTTGCAAACATCAACTATTGTCTGTAACTTAAAATTAGGAGTGCCATGAGGACTTGCACAACGCAATTATTGCGAGGTAACCAATGGTTGATGACGGATGGTGTTTATTTTGACTATTGTGAATGTCTGTCGATTTAACTATTGACAATATGATCTTATCATTTGACCGTGCAAAAAATTGCAATATGGATAGATCCCTGTCTTCACTTGCTTGCACTCAATCCGACTACAAAACCACCGACTTCAAAAGTTCTTTTGGCGGTAGAATTCACATAAACTAGGGAACTAAAAATTCATGGCGGGATGCTTTTCCCACCACATGATCCAAGGCAAATTCTCTGGCGAACGACGGAACTGTACAAAAACGAAGCCAACCTCAATCTTCTTCTTCTCCTCCTAAGTGAAACGAAGTGAAAACCCTGACAATTTTATCGTCACGATTCCATCAGCGCCTTAGCCGAAGCCATAATCTGCCACATCTATCCCTCTTGCACATTGAAGACACTATTAAGATCCACGTCCTCTCCAAGCAGTGGTTATCCACCTGGACCACCGCCACCTACCTCCTTTTCTTTGGTGGCTTTGTGCGCTGGATGCTTACACTTGCAAGACGATCAAAGCCTTCTCCACCTTGGTAGACGGGGTTTTAGCTTGTGCGCGTCACCCATGATGAAGAGGGGATCAGCGACATCTTCTATCGGGAAGCAAATCACCCGATCCATTCCCTCAAGTTCATAACTCCGGTGAAGATGAATTATGAGATCCGCGGCACGGGAGCATCATGTTTGTAGCAAATCTTATTAAGAGAGTTGAAACTGTTGATTGTGGTGTCTGTCATCATGCTTTGAAGCACGTACACTTGTGCTAGAGAAGATGATCATCAAAGCTAGGATGGACATAGGCAGGTGATCTTGAGGAGCTGCTTGATTTCCATGTGAATAGTTATTGCTTTTCTATGAGCTTTGTTTCGTTGGAACTTGATTTCATGTAGAAAGGGATCATCTTGTGATTTTGTCAGTGATGAGAGCTCCCGACAGCTTTTTGTTAAGTAATTATAAAAAGACATAATCATAGTTATTAGTAGTACACTGACTTCTTTGCTCAACAAATGTTCCTTGTGAGTCATAATAACTAATAAACATGGTTTTTGTTAAGGAATTTATTCATCTTGCTCTTTTTGGAGTATAGCCTCTGAACTGCAACACTAGTTCCCTTTCTCGGAGCCTTCATTAGAGAGTAAATGGGATTTGAGAACAAGGATGAAAGATTTGGCCCCGTATAATTTCTCACGAGCTTAGTTATTACAGAATTTGAGAAGCTGCATCGGTCAACGGATTACTTTTGTATCATGACTTTTCAGCCGTCGCAAAAAATATATGCTATGTTGAGGTGATCAGTGCACAAATTAGGACGACCAAAAGTATGTTATTGTTACTTTCCTTTTATCTCTTTTCTGCATTTTCTCTTCTTCTTCCTCCTTACAACAATTCATGTCGTCTGACCAAAAGTATGTTATTTTCCCTTTCCTATCTCTCTTTTCTGCATTTTCTCTTCTTCTTCTTTCCCTTATCTGGTTTTACTCTCTCTCTCTCTCTCATCTAGCAATTCATGTTGTCTCTCATCTTGATATAATTACATCGTATCAAATTTAGTCCTGCTTGAGCACAACAAATTTATCACTGACCTTTTTGTTTTTGACGTGAATTTCATCATTTTCTCTCATCTTCTCTTTCAGATCAAAATGGTCATTATTCTAGCCACATTAACCTTTTGGGTCGGGAGAAAAATTGCTTTGAATTTTACACGAGTGATCCCAAGATCAAGATACACAATTCTTTTTTTTTTCTTGTGCTGAGCATCACCATATGCACACACGTCTATGAGAAACTAACATCATCTAACAACATAATTTGTGAATTTGCAAACTAATTTCAAGAAAAAAAAGTTCATCATGGTGCCTCCTCATTTGAATTTGCAAACTAATTAAGAGTCAAGTTAATAAATGCATCGAAAAAGCTCATCATATATACTAAAAAAGGAAAAAAGAAAAAGCTTAATTGAGGAAGGAAAAACAAAGGGTTATTGAAGATGGATGACGTGGTTGAATTTGCTTATGCACTTTGGTCATGGAATATATGATATAGTACTAGTAGAGATGAACCGCTATTTATCCTTTTGTAATTAACTCCATTTGTGCAAAACTATGGACCGGAGAAGCAACTTTAGACAAGTATCAAGGTGAGGTATGTCTATACTTCTCATCATATAAGAATTAATATTGCTATTCAATTTATATATGAGTCGCGCTTTCTCCACTTCCTCTTTGGCTAAAACACTCCTTAACATAACAATCTGACTATATTACCCTTTTGGGGGGCTCATTTTTTAGCATTGCTCTTCTATCAATGTTTTAAGAAAAGCGTTGTTCCTTTTTTTTTTTTTTCTGATCGTGTCCCTTTTCTTTTATTAATTTTCCATGTTCACTTTTATTGTCTTCTTCATTCTCTAAGTTCTTTATTATGTAACCACTCACAGCAATAAAGAGATAGAGAAATGGAGACTTCCACGCTTGTGTAAGAGGAGGCAATTGAACTGCTCCTCATGACCCACAATAGCACTTTCTTGAGCCGCTTGAGTGAAGGTTCTGCGCCACATGTCTTACGGCAGCAAGGGGATGGTGTTCGCGAAGAGTGATGCACATTGGCGGGACATGAGGAGGTTATGCACTCAATATTTGATGAACTCGGCGAAGGTGAGGTAGTTTGTGCTGATGAGAAGGAGGAGCTGGGAAGGGTGATGGGAAGGCTAAGGGCGGCAACCTTGAGGCATACTCGCCGCAATTTAAAACACTTTATCGAAAAACTCTTCTATGTACAAGGAATCAATGAAATTTGCAAAATCAATTTTGCTCACAAACAAATCTTCTTGGTATTTTGTTACCTGACAATCAATTTCCTCGCCTTCCCACCATCTATAGCTATTGAAAATATTTATGTCAATTTGCTAAATTTCCTCGCAAAGAGCGTAAATTATACTGAGGTTGAGCAAGTAAGATCGGTAGCTACATCCGGAGGTGGTCGAGGAGGAGAGCTTCATCGACATCTCGGTGGCGGGTTAATGTGGCCTTGCATAGAATATACAAGCATAAGGACGTGACCTTCATGATTTTCCATTTCTCTTCCTCTTGAAAGATAATCATGTTCGGCAAAAAAAAAAAGAGAGAGAAAACATAGAAAAGGAAGAAGATTAAAGAAAGTGGATGTGGAATCCACAAGAAAAGAAATAGGAAATCAATAAAATAAAATCGGCAAATGGATGCAAATGGGTGGAACCCACAAATGGCGATATTATCAGAACATGTATTAACGGCGTTTTAGCCAAAGAGGGAGTAGAAAAAGCGTAGCCTTTTATATAATGAGAAAAACGATAGTACTTATTATTAGATGATTGAAATTGCTAGGGAAAAAGTCGCAAAAACTCCAAAACTATTCTCACTCTAACACATTTATCTTAAAAATTTTTATGTTATTAAAAATTTCAAACTAGTACCCATATGACACTTTTACTCTTTATCAATATCCTGTTAATGAGCGTCGTTAAAAATTTGCTTATATGGATGTCGGAAAAAAAACGGTGTTGACATGGCATCATGCGGCATAAGTGATATAAGAATGGCGTTATTTTAATTGAAAAACCATGTGACCGATCCTTGACGTGTAAATGTGTCTCATAGGTACAAATTTGAAATTTTTTTTTTATGTCTGGTAAATGTGCAACGGTGAACATAGATTGGGGTTTTTGATATTACAAAAAAAGTTTAAGGTAAATTGACATAGTGAGCATAGGTTGGGATTTTTTGTTGCTGTTTCTGAAATTACTAAACCACGTGATGCGGTCATATGATTCTTCTTACATAAAGATGATTATCAAAGATTGAAGAGTAATGTGTATATGGGTCCAATCAGTTTTTGATAATGCACTAAAATCCAAATTGCCATAGAGTGAAAATTTATCGTATCAGATCCTTTAGCGAAATTATCGTAATTAAGCCAGATGGAACTAGTTGTACCAAAATATCCATACACTCAAGCTTTATTCAATGGAAATGCATCAAATTGGATTTGAACTCAAATCAACTCAATTTCTTTTTTGATTAATTCAAATGAACGCGAAATCGGAAAGGAAGAAATGGAATTTGTCCAAAAACACAAGAGAAAGGAAGAGGAAGGCACATATTCTCTCAAACAGAAAGTATCACACAACAAATATCAATTACCGCTAACTAAATAAATGTTAACTTGTTTAATTAAACGTTTCTACGAACGTGATAAAAGCGTTGACGGGTCCAAATCTACGACATCGTGTTTATTTATGTGTTGGTGTTGATTAAGCTTCAATCGAACATGCTTACCTTGGTGCTATTTAAACACATCATATCGAAAAGAAATAAAGAGTGAATTACGGCATCACGTAAATTTTATGTTAATTACTTAATATCTTTTTTTCTAAATTCAAGTTTAATTTTGGTCCTCTCCTTTTCTTTTCTTTTTTCACATTGAGATCGTCTAATTTATTTTTGCGGTGCATTATGAAGCAAGACAAATTATATGTTTGCGTAAAAAACTTGAAAGACAAAAAAGAAAAGAAAAACAAAAAAGAAGAAAACTCTCATAAATTTTCATTGTTCTTCGCCTTTACCTTGCTCAAGAATGCAGAGAAAGTAAAATCCTTCGGGAACTCGGCCGGAAAATCCGCAGAAACCCTAGAACTTCGATTCCACGGCGAAGACCTCCGTCCACGGCGCCACCCACCGCGAATCCTCTGGCGACGACCGGCCGAATCGCACCGCGCCGGCCTCCTCCTCATTTGCAGCGACGCAGAAGCCCTAGCGATCTCATCATGGCGGAGACCTCCGTCCGCGGCGCCGTCCGCCGCGAATCCTCCGGCGACGACCGGCCGAATCGCGCCGAACGAAACCGAACCTATCCTCCTCCTATGAGCCCTAGGGATCTCATCAGCGACTTGCCAGACGCCGTGATACACCACATCTTCTCCTTCCTGCCCCTCGAAGACGTCGTGAAGACCGGCGTCCTCTCCAAGCGCTGGCAGTCCACTTGGACCACCACCACCCAACTCGTCTTCAACGACCTCCGGCCTCGCCATCGCGACCCCTACTACCCGGACTACCCGTCCCTCGTCGACAGCGTCCTGTCCCGGTGCACCTCGCCCGCGGTGAAGAGGTTCCACATCACCATCTTCAAGTGCGACGAGGCCTACCCCAAGCTCGACCTCTGGCTGCGCTTCGCGGAGGGGCGCGGTGTGGAGGATCTTCGCCTGGTTCTTATTCCCAATCTGGAGTTCTTTTATAAGCTGCCGCGGTTCTTGTATCGCTTGAGTCGGTTGGTGCGCCTAAAAGTCAGTGGCTGCTGTCTTTCGTTGGGTACTGCTGTTAGGTGGCCTTGTCTCAAGTTCTTGTTGTTAGATTGCGCGGAGTTGAGTGATGATATCCTGGAGGGAATTGTCAGGGGAAGTCCTGTTTTGGAGTCCCTTGCGTTGCGCTATTGCAGGGGCGTGAAGAACATTATAATACATTCAACAAGTGTGAAACGGTTAATACTCGTCGAAGACGGGCTTTCTAACTCGGAGAAAATTTGGGCCCCGCATTTGCTGTCCCTGCGTGTATCAGGGATTTGTTCTCTTCATTCCGTGTTCAGACTTGACGACGTATCTTCTTTGGTGGAAGCCGAGTTACATTTTGCGGTGTCTGGTGACAGGATAGGCCACCGCGACTTGTTAAAGGAACTTCTTGAGAAGCTGCGCAGAGTTTCTACAATCACCATTGGCTATTGGTGTTTGCAGGTACCAGCTCAGTATTTTTGCCCTTTATAAGGCGTACTCGTGTTGAATGGTGTCTGTGATTGGCACCATTTAGTGCTGTATGTTGCCCCGGGTTGAGAGACCTCAGCTCTCTGTGGCATTCTAGTCTTTCGTCTGGTGGAATCATTGTGAACGGGATGATTCATAACTTTGTGTTTCGAGTTATTACGTAAGAGCATATGGTGAACCTTGGAGCTTCTTCCCACTGTTTAATTTCAAATAAATGGATTTGGGATCACTCAATTAGGGACAACGAATGCCACTAGATATTTCTAATTATTATGGATGCTACTCAACACAACATTGTTAGATGCTTGATTTGCCCAAGATAAATGCATGAAGTGATTATTTGAAAAGGTTACATTTTCCATTCACTCTTTCAGTTTATAGAAAAAATACAATTATCTGGAAAAATGAGGAAGAGTAATGGACCTAGTCACCTTTGGTTACTGGAATCGGGTCATACTTTCTTGTCACACTAGACTGATGGTCCATAATCATCTTACAGAGCATTCTTACAGGATTTTACAATGGCAATGGATGGATTTTCTCAGAAACTTCAGTCGATAACGAGATTCGGTGTCTCATGTGACCAACTACTAGAATTTTCAAATCCTTCAAGTATCTCAAGTTTTATGTAGATAGTCTTGATTCTTAAAGAGATTCACTTGTTCATTTCTACTTGTAGTATCCTTATTGGTCTTTTCCTGGCTGGGAGATAGTGTCAAAGGATATTGTATCTGGATGAACCGTAATTTTGTTGTTCTTTATTCATGTTAAACAGGAACAGAAATACTAATTAATTTTTCTGTTTCGCTTGCTCAATGTGGTTAGATTCTGTCTGCTTTGGAGATGGAAGGAGTGCCATGTCCATTGTCAAAATGTCAGAATCTGATACTACGCGCGCCAGTTAGTCAATGGGAACTTCCCGGGATAGCATACATGCTACGAAGTTCACAGCGCGTAGAAAAATTAGTCATACACCTGACTCACTCTTGCCCATCGACGGTTTGTTACTTTTCTATATTATTTTCAGTTCGCTTCCTGTGCTGACTTCCTCTTTGCATGAATGAGTTTAAACTTTAGAAGAACATAAACATGATCCATCTCAAACTCTTATTTGTTCCACCAATTGAAATTTGCCCAGTCTACTCGACATTTATACAGGGCCGTTTTAAGCTGTTTTAGTTCATGTCCTAAAGTAACTGCAGTGTTATGCTGGAGATTCTTTTGCTGCCATGTAAGGTTAGGATCTTGAACTAATGAATTAGCGATGAGAGCCTAGAAAGAGAAGATGTGTGGACGAGTTTAAGAGCTCAAATTGATGAAGACTCGATAAAAAGTAAATCTAACTATCATCTGAGGTGGACAAACGAAAGTTGTTTGTTTGAAATTTTAGTGAGGCAACGAATTCTTTTTTCCGTGGATCCGCATCTAATGTGAAGCTTCTTTCCTAAATAGGGTACCCATGTGCAGCTTAAGCTCGACGAAGAATCTATAGAACGTTTTAACGAAGATCTTTTGTCACAGAAGGGGAACTTTCAATGTTTGGCAGAACATCTCAAGAGGGTGGAGATCATCGGTTTTGCTAGTAGTTTTGGGTCGAAACATCTGCTTGCCCTAATTAAGTTTCTTCTTGGTGATGCACTTACGCTGGAGAAGATGATTATCAAGGCTGATTTCCCTGCACAACGTGGACAAAAACATCTTGAAGCCGCTGATCTTTCCAAACTACTTGGTGTGAGCCGAAATGTGCTCAGCCATCGAAGAGCTTCCCAAAATGCAGAAGTTATCTTCGATTATCCTTTGGAAGAGTTGTCCTTAAAAAAGCATATGAGGAAGATCCAGGTTTCTGAACTTGGATGAGCACTACACTGCTCATTCTAAACAGGTGCTGCGATTTCCCAATTGGTGTGGACTACTATGCCCTTTCTTCTGAGGGATGTGTAATTTCGATAACTTATCGAAGTTTCCTTTTCGCCTTTTAATCATGAATATGAGTGTGTGTTGCTTGCTCCGATCGTTGTAGATGAAGTAGAAATTCGATGCTTTGACAGCAAGAATTTCGAATGTGGAGTCGATCCCTTCGTCAGAGTCCAAACCTGCCCAGGCACTTCACATTCATCTGATAGTTTATTTGTGGTTTTATAAATTCGATTTAATGTGACATTGTTGGGTGTAAAACTGCAATTTGGGTTGGGATGTTCATTGTTCGATTGGCTTTTGTCTGTGATTTGTTGCCTTTCCTGTTCATTAGGAGTAAAGATATTCTACCGGAATGATCTATAAGTTGCTCAAATTGCAGTTGCCAGATTTCTTTTTTCAGTTTATGCATTTAGTATGACATTGTAGACCTCTGATTGCACTGTAATTTACCTGTGAAACTTAACTGGGGGAAGAGTCCCTGTAATTCCACGTTTTGATCTGGGCATTGAAAATGATGTGAACTTCTATTTGGCTTGTGGGATTGATAACATTTGGTGATGGCTGCTTCATTTGAGACCCAGCGATTTATGATTTGTGCAGCGATTAGAGATTCTCTTGAGTAAGTTTTTTGGTTTCCTTTGCAGGACCATCACATTTCTTTATTGTGCTGAACTGGATAAGCATGGAAAAAAACGGCTTGCTGTGATGAATGGCTTTTGTATGCAGTTGTTGTCGTTGCCTCTTTAAGCTTGTAGTCAGTTTGGTGGTCAAAAGCCTAAAACTTTAGGATTTTCTATTCGTAATACTCACATCTGTGACTGGGTTTTGACTCTTTCTTACATTTATCAAGTTCTAATTCGCTATTGTTGTGGTAGTAAACATGTTTGATCTGTCCGAGATGAAAGCCAATATTTTGGGGCAAGATTTGAACTTCAAATTGTCCCAACTATTTAGAGTCGAAGTAATGACAAGAAATGTTTGCAATGTGTTGCAGCCACTTGAGGGCATTTTGTATGATCGGCTGCTGTGAGGCGCAGGTTGCCATGGACAAGTTAAGAGAGAAGTTCCGGGGATCAAAGAAAGTCGGAGAAGGGCACATGGCAGAATGAGCAAGATGAAGGATGGCTTTTGACTTTGAGATGATGAAACTAGCTATCCCGACTTAGTACAGCTTCTCGTTTTTTTTGTTATGAGGCACTTTTACATAGGGTAGGATCAAGTTGCAAACTTTATTTGCACCAGCAAGGTTTCTTTGGGACTTGTGCAGTTCACTGGTCCTTAAAGTATCAACAATGCTATTTTTTTATGTTGAATTTTTTATGGATACAACTATCTTATCTTGGGTGTAAGCAGGTTTTTTCGGAAACTAATGTCACTGGCATTATACTTATATAGATATTCGTCAAAAGTTCTTCATACACGGATTTATGGATTAAGTATTCGGTGAGTGCTGTGCACATCATTTACCATAAGTTATTACATATAAGTTGTAACGAGTTGTCAGAATTTGCTTGTCTAGCACCAAAAGCCTATTTGTGTTGCGCTACCCGCCATTGTTCTGATCCAGTTCGTGCTTGAAATTTGTCCTCCTCATAACAAATCCTGAATTTGAAATTTTATGATTCCATCCGTCTCATTGGATCCTGATTATGGATATATAATTAGCCCTAATGATGTAAATAAGGGGCTAGTGCTTGAAATGATAATACTTCTAACATGATATGTTTACGTGATAGAATAACCCTTCATAGTTTGATCCATTTGCCTTTTTTAGCCAAAAGGCTAAAAAAAGAAATGTGACTTTTTTATTTATAAATTTGTTAATGCATTTCTTTTACATTGTTCTCAACATTCAAATTGTAAAAGTTGTGGTCTTTTTTTAATTCCTATTTTAAACAAATTAAAAATTAAGAAGCTTAAATTGATCATAGTAAAGGATTTTTCAAATGTGTTTCTATCAAACCGCATTTAACTAAGAGTTGCTTCCAATGTTCTTTTAAATTACAATTTACAAAATAGTCTTTGCATTTCATAAAAACCCTTTAGATTAATGTCCTTTGTACTTACTCAAAGGCTTTTCCCAAATACTGGACCAAAAGTAGCCTTATTCACTTTCTTTTGATAGGAAAGTTATATGAACTATATGACAGTATTAGGTATTGGGTTTTTAACAATTACCGAATTTACTCTTCTTTCAAGCTTAGTTTAGTTGTAAATATGAACCCTCTAAGAAAAGAGTTTAGTAGCGATGTTTTGGATTATGGACATATGAAAGGGTGTTTCGCTTAAGAAATTGTTCAGCTCTCTCTTCTTTTTCAGTATATATCATTTATCTGCACTCTGTGAAGATTAAGGAAACGTCCTGATCATTATGATACGCATTTTGGAAATTTTCATGTATTTGTAGGCAATTGCATAGACATCACACAGGACGAAGCCAATTTTCTCTTTCTTCTTCTTCTCTGAAATGGGGCGAGGAACCTCGAGGGTTTCATTAATGTCTTTACTAGACGCCCTAATTCACATCTTTTCCTTCTTACGCATTGAAGACATTGTCAAGACCTGCATCCTCTCCAAGCAATGGCGATCCATTTGGACCACTACCACTGACCTCCTCTTCTCCAATGGCTTCGTCTGACAAAACAAACCATGGTAGATGTTACTTCAAGAGTTAATACCATGATAAATTTCAAATTGATATGTTATGGTACATTAACCTAAACTTAATTTTTTTATTTCAAGAAAAATTCCAAACTGGCACTTTATTTCACATTTACCTCAAATTAATTTTCTTTGTATTGTAGTAGGTTTTGTTTATTTACAAATTGATAAGAGATAGTTGCCCAGGGACGACTGTATATATTATTTGATTGTACACATACAAATTCACATGTAGTGTATATTTGATTGGTATCTTGTAGGCTATGAATGTATGACCCCAATCGTTTTTTTTATACTGAATAGAAAAGAGCAAAATTGCAAAGAAAGCCCAAAGGCCCTGTATAATCCCAAAACACCATTTACCTTCAAATGGGAATCCAAGATGTCTTTTGGATCATTAAAGAGGAACAGTTACATAAAGTTGGAAACATCAACTATCGGCTATAACTTAAAATTAGGAGTGCCGTGAGGATTTACACAGAGAAATTATTGCGGGGTGACGAACGGTTAATGACGAATAGTGTTTATTTTAACTGTCATGATTATCTGTCGATTTAACAATTGACCTTTTGATCTTATCATATGACCGTGCAAAAAATCGCAATATGGATAGATCCCATCTTCACTTGCTTTCACTCAATCCGACTACAAAACCCCCCAACTTCAAAAGTTCTTTTGGCGGCAGAATTCACATAAACTTGGGAACTAAAAATTCATGGCCGGATGCTTTGCCTGCAGCGTGGTCCAAGGCAAATTCTCTGGCGAACGACTGAACCATGCAAAAACAAAGCCAACGTCATTCTTCTTCCTCTCCTCCCAAACAAAACGAAGTGAGAACTCCGACGATTTTATCCTCATGATTGCATTAGCGCCTTACCTGAAGCCATAATCCGCCACATCTATCCCTCTTGCACATTGAAGACACTGTTAAGACCCGCGTCCTCTCCAAGCGGTGGCAATCCACCTGGACCACTGCCACCTACCTCCTTTTCTTTGGTGGCTTCGTGCGCCGGGATGCTTACACTTGCGAGACGATCAAAGCCTTCTCCACCTTGGTAGACGGGGTTTTGGCCCGTGCGCCTCGCCCATGATGAAGAGGTTCTGGATTAGCGACATCCTCTATCGAGAAGCAAATCACCCCATCCATTCCCTCAAGTTCATAACTCCGGTGAAGATGAATTATGAGACTCGCAACACGGGAGCATTATGTTTGTAGCAAATCTTATTAAGAGAGTTGAAACTGTTGATTGTGTGTCTGTCATCATGCTTTGAAGCACGTACACTTGTGCTAGAGAAGATGCTCATCAAAGCTACTATGCACATACCTTGTAGAGGAAAATCTTTCGAGGCAGGTGATCTTGGGGAGCTGCTTGATTTCCATGTGCATTGTTATTGCTTTTCTATGAGCTTTGTTTCGTTGGAACTTGACTTCAAGTAGAAAGGGATCATCTTGTGATTTTGTCAATGGTGAGAGTTCCCGACAGCTTTTGTTAAGTAATTGTAAAAAGACATAATCATAGTTATTAGTACACCGACTCCTTTGCTTAACAAATGTTCTTTGTGAGTCAAAAGAACCAATAAACATGGTTTTTGATAAGGAATTATTCATCTTGCTCTTTTTGGAGTATAGCCTCTGAACTGCAACACTAGTTTCCTTTCTCGAAGCCTTCATTAGAGAGTAAATGGGATTTGCAAACAAGGAAGAGAGATTTGCCCCCCATCCTCTTACGAGCTTAGTTATTATAGAATTCAAGCAGCTGCATCGGTTATGGGGTTGCTTTTGTATCATGACTTTTCAATCGTCGCAAAAAAGGTACGCTATGTTGAGGTGATCAGTGCACAAATTAGGAGGACCAAAAGTATGATATTTTCCCTTTCCTTGATCTCTTTTCTGCATTTTCTCTTCTTCTTTTTCCTCCTCACAACAATTCATGTCATCTGACCAAAAGTATGTTATTTTCCCTTTCCTTTATCTCTTTTCTGCATTTTCTCCTCCTCCTCCTCTTCTTCTTCTTCTTCTTCTTCTTCTTCTTCTTCTTCTTCTTCCTTGCAACAATTCATGTCGTCTCTTGATCAGTGCACAAGCTACGCATTTTCTCTTCTTGTTCTTTCCCTTATCTGGTTTTACTCTCTCTCTCTCTCTCTCTCTCTCTCTCTCTCTCTCTCTCTCTCTCTCTCTCTCTCTCTCTCTCTCTCTCTCTCTCTCTCTCTCTCTCTCTCTCTCTCTCTCTCTCTCTCTCTCTCTCTCTCGTCTAGCAATTCACGTCGTCTCTTCATCATTGCGTCTTGATATAATTACGTCGTATGAAATTTCGTCCAACTTGAACACGACAAATTTATCATTGACCTTTTTGTTTTTGACATGAACTTTCATTATTTTCTCTCTTCTTCTCTTTTAGATTGAATTGGTCATTATTCAGCCAAATTAACCTTTCGGGTCGGGAAAAATTGCTTTGAATTTTACACGAGTGATCCCGAGATCAAGACACGCAATTTTTTTTTTTTTTCCTTGTGCTGAGTATCACCATGTGCACATATGTCTAAGTGAAACTAACATCGATCTAATAATATAATTTGTGAATTTATGAACTAATTTCAAAAAAAAATTTCATCATGCTGCCTCCCCATTTGATTTTTTTATTAAGAGTCAGGTTAATAAATGCATGGAAAAGGTCGTCATATATACTTAAAAAGGAATAAAGAAGAAGGTTGATTGAGGAAGGAAAAACAAAGGGTTATTGGAGATGGATGACAGTGGTTGAATTTGCTCATGCACTTTGGTCATGGAATATATGATATACAATAGAGATAAATGCATGTAGACATTATTTGAAAAGGTTACATTTTCCATTCGCTTTTTCAATTTATAGAAAAAAAAATACAATTATTTGGAAAGATGACGAAGAGTAATGGACCTAGTCATTTTAGGTTGCTGGAACCGGGTCATGTTCTCTCGTCACACTAGGTTGATGCTCCATAATCATCTTACAGAGTGTTCTTACAATATTTTACAATGGCAATGAATGGATTTTCTTGGAAGCATTGGTCGATAACGAGGTTCGCTGTCTCATGTGACCAACTACTGGAATTGTCAGATCCTTCAAGTATCACAATTTTTATGTAAATAGTCTCAATTCTGAAAGAGATTCACTTGTTCAATTGTATTTGTAGTATCCTTATTGGTCTTTTCCCGCATGGAGACTGGGTCAAACGATATTGTATCTGGATGAACTGTAATTTTGTTATTTTTTATTCATGTTAAACAGGAACAGAAATACTAATTAGTTTTTCTATTTTGGTTGCTCAATGTGCTTAGATTCTACTTGCTTTGGAGAATGAAGGAGTGCCATCTCCATTGTCAAAATGTCAGAATTTGATACTACGCACAACAGTTAGTCAACCCGATCTTCCTGGGATAGCATACATGTGACGAAGTTCACAGTGCTTGAAAAAATTAGTCATACACCTGACTGGCTTTAGCCCATTGCCGGTTTGTTACTTTTCTATATTATTTTGAGTTCGCTTCTTGTGCTGACTTCCTCTTTGCATGAATGAGTTGAAACTTTAGAAGCACATAAAGATGATCAATCTCGAACTCTTATTTGTGCCAACAATTGAAATATGCCCATGACTGTTAGCCTACTTGACATTTGTGAAGGGCCGTTTTAAGCTGTTTTAGTTCATGTCCTAAGGTAACTGCAGTGTTATACTAGAGATTTTTTGCTGCCA